GCTCGGAGCCTGGGGCCTGCTTCAGATTCTGTGTCTCTCTCTCTCAATGCCCCTCCTCCACTCACGCTCTGTCTCCCTCTCTCTAAAAAATAAATAAACATTAAGAAAAGAAAGGAACCAGATCTAAGCTCTCTTCAGAAACCTCCTATTAATTTTTCTACTTCAGATAAATTAATATTAGCAGAGACAATTTAGTAAGGTGCCTGAAAAGGCTAATTTCAATTTGACCATTGTCAAAGCTAAAACCAAGTTCTTTTTTTTTTTTTTTTTTGGTCTTTACCTTTTCTATCTTGCTACCTCCCGGGGCGGAAGGAAGCACTTTCAAATCAGTACAGAAAGATTATTTCCTTGTTCTTCCTGATTGTGAGGTTTATAAATACACCTACATTTGTAAGGAATACATTATACTGTACTTGATATTGATCGAGTACTGTGTCAAATCTTGGCTTAGAGGTGAAAAAATTGGAGCAGGCCCAGAGAAAAATAATGACCATAATTAAGGGTTTGGAAAATGGGATCGAGGACAAAACACATAAAGTTTAGGAAATCTGAAGGCTCTTGGATGCCTTCTTTATTTTCTAATTTTGTTTTCAGCTTTGGGGAAGCTCAAGTATATAAGAAAATGTTCATCATCAATCAAAGAGTTATCAAAATTTAAGAGGGCATACAAGTCCACAGGGATTTTTGAACCCAATCCAAAATAATGGAAGGACTCTTTATAGAGATCCTTTCAAACAAGGATACGTCACTCCCCACTTCTTTCCCATAATTCATTCAGCAAACATTGGTTGAATGCCTACTGCATGTGACAGGCAATGTTTCAGGCATGGACAGAAATCTCTGTTCTCTCCAAACTTACGTTCCAGTGTGGGAAGAGAGACAATGAACAAAAACAACACAACAAACATCATAAACAGGTAAATTATAGAATATTTCAAAAGGTGATATAGAAATAGAGTAGGCTACGGGGTACAGGAATGGGAGATTGCAAATTTAAAGGGGGTGGCCAGGATAGGGATCTTCGAGCACACGTCAGTTAGCAAAACGTGGAATCCTGACAGGGCAGAGGGCATTTACCTCCTAATGTGCAGCTTACAACACTGTGCCAATCAGTCAGGGGGCACTGGAGGAGCTGAGAATGAATTCCGTTTCGGCCACATTAAATTTGAAGTGCCGCGGCACAGAAATAAATGATTAGCGGGTCTGGAAATGTAGATCTGGAGCGAAGGAGAGACGTTTGAGATCGAGACGTCGCTTTGGAATCCCTGTGGTCGAAGCGGTGGGAATGAATAGGTGAGCTCGCCAAGGAAGAGCAGGCTGGAAAGAATTCCAGGGAAGAACCTCACTAATGAATGTCTACATTTTAGGGGATGGACACAAAGACAAATCAAGAAAGGAGAGTATACTTTTTTTTTTTTTTTTTTTT